AGATAGTGTCAAAGATGAAAATGTCAAAGAGGAGAATGTCAAAAAAGATAGTGTCAAAGATGAAAATGTCAAAGAGGAGAATGTCAAAAAAGATAGTGTCAAAGATGAAAATGTCAAAGAGGAGAATGTCAAAAAAGATAGTGTCAAAGATGAAATTGTCAAAGAGGAGAATGTCAAAAAAGATAGTGTCAAAGATGAAAATGTCAAAGAGGAGAATGTCAAAAAAGATAGTGTCAAAGATGAAAATGTCAAAGAGGAGAATGTCAAAAAAGATAGTGTCAAAGATGAAAATGTCAAAGAGGAGAATGTCAAAAAAGATAGTGTCAAAGATGAAAATGTCAAAGAGGAGAATGTCAAAGATGAAAATGTCAAAAAAGATAGTGTCAAAGATGAAAATGTCAAAGAGGAGAATGTCAAAGATGAAAATGTCAAAGAGGAGAATGTCAAACGGGTTTCTGCTAAAAAAAAATAAAGAGGAACGTCACATAAAGTGAGCCTCTCACATGAACGCCTCTCACATGAACGCCTTTCACATGAACGCCTCTCACATGAACGCCTCTCACATGAACGCCTCTCACATGAACGCCTCTCACATGAACGCCTCTCACATGAACGCCTCTCACATGAACGCCCCTTGTTTAACTCATGTGTGACCGAAAGATATTTAGCGATCATCCCCCTTACATTTTCTTTCATGTTTGATAATTATTAGACGAAAGGCCGTTTGCCTGCAGCCCCTGGTCATACTCCGGAGATGGTTGGACACAATGATGTCATTTAGATTTTTTTTTAAAAGCGCAACCAGCCCCAGTGAGCCCCACAGCCCCAGTGAGCACCACAGCCCCAGTGAGCACCACAGCCCCAGTGAGCACCACAGCCCCAGTGAGCACCACAGCCCCAGTGAGCACCACAGCCGCAGGCGGCACTTTTAGAATCGGACATTTCCGTTTCACGTCATATACTTCACGCGACCATTTTTTAAAGTAAATTGTATGCTTTGTGCTTTTCCTGATTTACGGGCGGGAGAGCCACATATATCTGAAAACGCCACAGCATGGGTATATATATTTTGAGGTTATCTCCCTCATCTTTCCCTGGTCCCCACTAGACCCTCTTACAATGTACCATATGTGACTGCCTGGCCCCACTAGACCCTCTTACAATATACCATATGTGACTGCCTGGCCCCACTAGACCCTCTTACAATGTACCATATGTGACTGCCTGGCCCCACTAGACCCTCTTACAATGTACCAAATGTGACTGCCTGGCCCCACTAGACCCTCTTACAATGTACCAAATGTGACTGCCTGGCCCCACTAGACCCTCTTACAATGTACCA